GCAGTTCCTCCCCACACGAACCAGCCACACCTGTGGCCCCCAGAAGCAGGAGGACTGCAAGGAGCTCCCGAGCTGCTCGGGGCCAGGGCAGGAGCAGCAGGCAGGAATCCTGCCCGAGGCCGCAGCGCTGCTCGGGGGCCCTCTGCTGGAAAGCTGCAACCCCCCGGGGCCCCACCGCTGGCACTCCCAGATCAGCAAACCCAGCTCCAGCCCCCCGAGATGGGCGAGCAGTGATTGTTCCCTTCGTAGGAAGCGAGCTGGGCTTTCTGCAGGATAGGTCGAGCGCCCCAGGCTGGGGAAGCAGTGGAGAAAGCTGATTTCATCCGCCTGGAATTGTGTCCTGCTCCGTGCTCCGGGGTGTGAAGCCAAACCAGCCTCTGGTCTAAGAGCCAAAAACACGGGGCTTTGTTAAAATAAAGACAGTGTATTTGTTTATATACCCACAAAAACCACCAGAGCATAAGGATGCTAAAATGCACTTTTGCCACCTACAATTGCTGGGATACTGAAACAACAAATCTTCACCCCCTCTAGACTGAGGAATGGGGAAGAGAGCTAAAGAGCAGAGCAGCCCAGCTGTCTGAAGCTGTGATTTCTTCTGTTGCCTCTCCTCTGTTGCCTCTCCTCTGTTTCACGGTGAGTTTGTGAGAAACGTTTGTCGTGCCAATGAACAGGCCCAAACAGACCCTTCAGCAAAGCACAGTTTGTTTACCCTCTTGCAAGAATGGGTGACCTAAACAAGTAGGCACACCCATAGTAAGGTGAATAACGGTTTATATTCCCTGTTCCCGACCCAAAGTTCCCTCCCACTGGCTGGGCACTCCAGGGTTTACAGCCCATCTGACACTTCTAATTATCCTGTAAGTTTCCTGCCCCTGTTTACACATCCCATTCTAGCAGTTTACTTTTTATCTTTTAAGGTATAATTTTGACCTTTCTTGCCCCCTGGGCTGTCTTCCCAATTAACAAACCTACTGGTGTCACCCTGCCCTGAGGAGCAATACAGAAGTGGCTTTGTTGGGTCTGATCTTGGCCATAAATCCTGCTCCATGTTCGGATCCCCAGATGGAGCCCAATTCACTCCCTCAGTTTCTCGGGCCGTAAACCCCTCCTGGTGTCCTCAGAAGGTACAAGTATCTCACTTATCTCAAACTATGTATTTCTAACACTAGGATATATATATATATACACACATACATACCAAACCCAACACTATGTTTCTAACACTAGAATGCAAAATCAACACTACATTTCATTTCTAACAACGGCCCCCCGCCATGTGGTACAAAAAGCCCCCAGCCCACCCCACCCCCCAGAGGCAGGACATAACAGGTGAATGAAGAGATGCTAAAGGCCTGGTTCCCTCTCCCCCCCCCCCCCCCCCTTTTTTTTTTTTCTGTTTTATGCTTCATTTTGGCGAAGAGATTAAAAAGGGCAGCCCAAGACTCTCATGTTTTCATGTAGGGTGGAAGACACAGCCACGCACTTGAGCATGACCCCAGTGCTAGGCCACAAGCAAGGGGGAGGAGGCTCTGCAATAGTCCTAAAACTCAAACAAAAAAAAATTAATTGCGTCCCCCTTTCAGCCTCAGGGTTTTTTTTGACACATGCACATAACAGGCATAAAACTGAAAGGGGGTTTTATACAAGTGCCTCCCCAACTCCTCCCCTTACTGTTGTCTCTTCAGCCCCCTGCTCCACACTCCCTCCTCAAACCGCTAAAGCTCCTCTGCATCCATTTACCTCTGCAGTTCCCAGCTCCATAAACTCGACTTGGCCAGCTCACTGCCAGCATTCCCAGGTAGCAATCTCTGAATTCCCTAAGCAGGAACATTCAATTTGAACATAACATTCAAAGCCACAATTCTCTTATCTCCCTGAAGCCTCTACTAGCTTTTTTTGCTTTAAACAGCAAGATGTGCCAAGAAAACAAACACAACAAATAGGAATTCAGGTGAATACAATTGTGTATTCAGCATAACATACCTCAGGTAAGTGAACTCCTATGTAGGATATAAACATTAACCTGGTTTCCTAAGAAAACAGGAGAAAAAGACCTCACCAACTGCTTTTTTATTAATCTGAGCATGTAGCACCTCTGCCTGCCCCACAAGGAAATCCAGTTCAAAACAGAATTTCACCAAAGGAAGTACAAATAACTCTCTCAAGGTTCCATTAAAACAGGTGGGTGGGTACAGTACAAACACAATGGTCCCAGCAGAAGTAAAGGATGAAGCAAGAGTTCAGTCTTGGGTATGAAGAATCCACAGGTCCATGTTGTTCTCCCATGTACTTAAAAAATCAGTCGCTAGTCAAGTCCCACCATAAGATACATTGATATAGAAAAATAAGATTCCTTTGTTCTCCTGCATGTGATCCTACCTTTCTATTTAAATGGCAACTGAAAACCCTCTCACATATACAAATTTTTCTTATTTTCTTCAAACCATAATGAAACTGTTTCCCCTCACTGGTCACTTGACCAAAGTGTTCTTCCCTCTCACTGCTCAATTGAACTTACTTGTATCACAAGAACTTGGTTTTGTTACTAAATGGGTAAAAACAGCTGCTTAATAAATAGGTTACTCAGTCTGTAAAATAAGATCACTAAGACAGGCACTTTTATATATAATTATATGCTGAGTAAAGACATTTTTTCCCTTCCAATTATCTATTCATTTTTTGCTTCAAGTAAAACACTTTTTACAATAAGGTTTTAGGTTTTAACACTTACAGATACAAAACCAGCTGTAAGTAAATTCTATTCAATCAAAGACAACTGCTTTCTTCCCTAGAATGCTTTAAAAAAGTTCAAATTCTGCAAGGATTAAGGTCTTTTCTGTCAGTCCTGCAGGTTCACTATCCAACAACTTGGAAGTGTGCAATTTCTACTTCTGAACAAAGCAGAAAAACCCATAGGGCATTTCAGTCCCTTTTTTTTTTCCTGTGGAGCCATGGTATGTGGAAATAAGCATTTCTAGGGCTGTTTCTTCACTGGTGATCAAGTACTCCTCTCCATTCCCACGTGTTACTTTAGCAGCCGTTTCCTCTTTTTCAGAAGTGCATCTCGAAGAGCCAGCTAAACGTGAAACAAGAGTGGAAGAGAGCCAGGTAAGGAGAGTATTAAGACAACAACACTATGACATCAACACTTCTCAGCTCCTTCAGTCTCAGAGGAAAAACATTAATAGCTTATCACCTAAAACTGGATGCAGTAACTGGCAAATGCCAACAACTACACTGGTTATGATCTAAACTCTATAGTACAAGTTGGGCTTAAAAAAAGTGTTTCAATACAAAAGCACATCCTGTATAGTGAAAAATATTACAGTAACAAACTGTTCCAGACATCTAAGACGACAGATGTGGTGCCAGGGTTTAGTGGTGAACACTGCAGAATTAGGGTAGTGGTTGTACTCTGATCTTGAAGGTCTCTTCCAACCAGAATGATTCTGTGATACTGTGAACTAACAGGTCAAGAAAATATTTCAGTTCACGTGAGAGGTAAGTTGGATGAGTGTTTTTTTTAAAGAATATTACAAAGTTCCTTTTAAAGGAGGGGAAGGAGGGATGCTAGAATTTTTCACGTGCCATATCACTCTAAGGAGACTTTGTTGTGTATTTCAGGCATGTTTTACTTGCTAAGGGGGTTTAGCTTTAGGGTATAGTAATTTTATTCTGCCACTAAAAGCAGCAGCAGAGCACAGTACCCTACAACTACAGTACTCAAACCCACTTAACTAGTCTTTCCAAATCATGGTCCACAGAACTGATGCTGTGGCCTAACTTTGATTAAACAAGTATGCAGAAAATCACTATTTAGCCGTTACATTTAAACACAAAACATCCACTGGGAGAAAGGAATGAAACCATTCCAGAAGGCTTGTTGGAAAGAAGTACCTGGATTGTTTGCTTGCAACTTTTTTGATGTGTTTTGAGAGCTGGGTTAATGTGGTCAGCCTTATTTGAGGTGAGGCAGAATGATAGAAAATAAGACTACAGAGAATTAGTGCAAGTCTTCCCATTTAACACAAACACTTAACATGTTTCTCTCTATTGAGTCTATAAGTGGTTTCAGTCTTACTTAAGGCAACAAACTGCAGACAAATAAACAGTATCCTAATGATATGACACTGGAAACTACTCAAAGGAGAGTCTGTAAGAATAGAATCTGAAAACTCTAGTGTGAGACAACCAAGCAAGAACACACAGCAATTAACACCACACAGAAATCAAACCCCTGCATAATTGCATTATTCTGTAAGTTATTTTTGGAACATCCTCAAAAGGAGTTCAGTTTCTAACACCCAGAGGAAGCCTAAACTCCCCATCAGCCAGGTTAGAGAAAAGGATTTTAAAGCCAGAGTTTTGTGGTTAGCACACACTACAGTGAAACACTACAGGGCAAGGCGATGTACCTACACCACCAGCAGCCACACACCAGTCATTACCCCAGCTGAGGTGCACCACTAGAGCAGGGGGGCTCCCTGTCCACCCTCCTTTGCACCTCATTTAACCCCAGACATCTGTGGGAGATATAGGGGATCCCTCAAGGCATTCAGCAGCACTGTCATCCCCCAAGGTTTCTGCCTTGCCTTGGAGGCATCCCTTCAGCTACCCTTGGCACAGCTGCCTGCAGGAACATGGATTAACTGGATTGCCAAATACATTTGTACCTCGTTTATCCTTTCACAAGGGCTGTCTTGAATCCTGTATCAGCTCTATGGACAGGCTTGCAGGAAGCAGAGCTAAACTGAAACATCTTTCTAAACAGTTTCAAACAGGTAATAAGTAACATTTATGCCTGTGTTTTAAGGACACTTCTGACAAGCTCTCAGATGACCCTCAAGGCCAGGACAGGCAAGGCCATAATATGACAGTAACAGGAGAAAGGTGAAATATGGAGAGTGCAGAAACTCTTGAAGACTGTCCTGAAAAACAACTACTCCATATCAGGAAAACATTTCTATCATAGGACTGTAGTCAGGGTTCTAGTATGATAATCTTGAACTTCTAGAAAGGAGAACAAGGCACATTATTATTGCCTTTCTAACCTACACACGACTATGCAACAGGGCTGGGTCCTTGATGCATATTAAAGAGAAGAGACTGCCAAAAGCATTCTTCACCACCAATTCTGATCTATCTCCTCTGGGGTAGGATTCACGGGAAGCCACCCAGCCCATAGTCCCTTGCAGCAATTAAACCTTCAAGTCAACAGCAAAGACTAATGGCACAGGATAGACACCACATCACATGCATAAACTTTATTGCTCAGGCTGCCCTCAGTGTTTTCAACATTAGGTATTACCTGTTTTTCCCTGAAAGAACGCTTGTTTTTTGTCCGGACGCTATGGCTGTATCTCATCATCATGAAGTTCTTGTGCTTCTTCTTTTCTTTGTTGGAAGAGCTGGCAAAGGGGTTAATTTTTGTTTTCTTTCTCACAAATTCTTTTCTGTCTGTTTTTCCAGCCTGCAATAAGACAGTGTAACAGAACAGGGGGTCATTTTCCATTCCATACAGGTAACATCAGCTGCTGAGGTGACAGATTCCAAAGCAGGGACAATAAACCCAGGCTTAGTATGACTTTGTGGATGTCTTGCAATCCTTCCACGCTGATCCTTCATCACAATGAACACTGGGGGTGTCTATTTTCATTGTAACCTGTGAATACCAAGAGGCTGTTTATTTGGCACAGCCAAGGAGCAACAGCAAACCTCCTCAGAAATATTTCTCAAAAAGCAGACAGCAGCTGGGGACTTGTCTTACAGATGCAATCCCACCACCCCCTTCTGCAGGAGACAAAAGCACAAAGCCGTATCTAGAAAAGCAGATGACATGAAACACCCAGTTCCTCACCATAGCAGTTGCTAGTCTGGTCTCCTTGTCCGATTTAGGCTTCTTATGCAGATGTTCAATATCTCTGAGTGAAAGCAACTCTCCCCTACACAAAAATCCAACAAAAGGCCATCACAAACTAACCTTCATCTGGCAAGGAAAACAAGACCTTTTGTATCTCAGCAATCTCTTACACCATTGTTTTCATATTAATTTTCACTCAAGCACTTCTTGTTCTGTCTCAAGCTAATTCTTGCCCCTCATTCTTGTGACAACCTTACAAAGGTTGAATGTTTTGCAAGCCCCACTTTATATAGTTTAAGAAACTGGAGATATAACCATGCAACTACCAAAATAGCCACACGTGCCTATGGGTTTCCATTAGCCCCTCTTGTCTCTTCTTTCAGGGATAAATCAATCACCCCAGCCAGGAGCCCTTCCAGGCTGCATGGGTCTCAGCAGCAGGTACTGACCAACAGGAAAGCTCTGTGCCCTGCCACAATTAAAAGCTCTATCACCAGACTGTAGCAAAGAGAAAGCACTCTTTGATAGTCCATATCCTACCTGCCCTCCTCCTCTTCATCATCTATTTCAATATGTTTCCTTTTGGCAGCTTTGCCAGGTGCTGAATTAAGTTCTTTGGAGAGCTGAGCAAGGCGTATTTTGTGGAACTCTTCTTGGGTTAGCAGCCTGCTGGTACTGACTGCTGCAGCTTTGGCTTTTCGTTCCTCCACAGGCATGCTTTTCACCTTCTCTGCCTTTTGGAAAAAGTGCAAAAATAATATTCAACCAGAGGCTCTGCAAACCATTTCTGTGCCAGTTCACCCATGACCCTTGCCTCCCAAATGCCAATGTAGGGGCAATATTGTTCAGAAATGCTACAAGCAGTTGTTAGGATTCTTCAGTTTTATACCTAACATGCAGTATTAGTATAGAGAAGGACATCCACCCTCTATGTCAGAGCAAGTAAGAGCAGCCATGTGAATACCATAGCTTGAAAGAATTTAGCACTAGGACAGAATTCCCCCAAATCTCCTTCCCACCCTAAGGAAATGCACAATTCAGCACAGGTGCTAAGCAGTACTTCAACCTCCCTAATTCTGGTCAAGCCCTGTATAATTATTTATGAGCAGCCACGTGAAGGCACAGAGCAACATCATTTGGTCTGCTATTAACAAGACCTGTTTGTACTTGGGGTAGAAGACATTTAGAACTCACTATTTCTTGGTGCTCCTCATCTGAGGAGTGATGCACATCAATCCATTCTCCATCTTCGTTATCTTCTTCCTCACTCAGACTAGCACTTTCCCATCCATCTGCTCAGGGGAACAAGTGCACAGTACAGATCTAACTTAACTGTTAGAGTTTGAAATAGTTTCAGATCAGATCAAAAGCTCCCACCACCTTTGATTAATTATCACCTAATGCATTTATGCCCAGGGACATGCTCACCAAACAAGGCAAGCTGTCAGGTCTCAGCATTCCAGCCTTAAAACTACATAGATGTTACCAAGACATAAGATACTTGACACATTCAGTTGCTATTTGTTAGTGATTTTCAGAAGACATCCACAGCTGAACAGACCAGCAGCTCCCATGCTTTCCCATTGGGACATTCAGCTATCAAATTCCATCTGGCTTGCAAACAATTCAAAGCTGTGCAAAAAACATCAGCTTTGATTTCTTAGTACATCCATATCATATGCACAGTCAGTTATGGATACCAGTTGTTAGTGATAACTGCATATGGCAGTGCAAAGGCTTTGAAAATATATACATGCACCCTAAAAGCAGCTGGGGTATTTTCTCATTATCGGGACCTGCAGATGCTTTAACACATTTACCATGAGCTTTCAACAAACCTGGTGATCAGAGCCTTGACATAAAATGGGTTAATGTACATCTGTTCACTCAAGACCAAACCAGCCTCAGAAAATACCCACAACAGCTTGCACACTCAGTGTCCCAGCAAGCTATCCCACAGTGCTATCTTTGCCAAGCTTAACTCTCATCTGAAGTTAAACAACCTCAAAACAAAATGGGGACAGTCTCTGAAGTATCTGAATCCTTATTATGCTGCTAGTAATGGTGTTCCCTTCTCACTGCAATCCAAACCAAGGAGGGAAGCATAGCTATTTATACCCACATTCCTTTCTGCAGTGTTTGCATTGCTCTTTAGTGTTGTTCAAACTGACAAATGTGCTAGTTACCAGCTTCAGAAACCAAAGCAAAGAATGTTATACTTACCACCCAATTCACGTCTCTAAGAAACCTGAAATATCAGGGTGTTCATTCCTCCAATACACCTCCACTGCACTACCCCACTGCCCTCAAGCATCATTTATCCAACTTCCAGCTTAATTTTCCAGTCCCTCCCCATCATTTTTGCCCCTGATTCAGGCAGAGACTTCAGGTTGTATGGAGCATCTACACAGGAAATGAATTAAAGAAGCCAAACACTATATTTAAGTCCCATTGCCTTGCTTCATACAAAAACTTTGTTTTAAGCAGAGCTAAACACATGAAGGCCCATAGCTGTACAATGCTTTTCTACCCCTCAGTGTAAGACAACACAATACAGTACCAAACAGCACTGGATAAACTGCACTTAGTCAGTGACAGTGTCAGTGCCTCTGAATGGACAACAGGCATGTAACCCACACAGCATGTAACAGCAGCAAGTGAAATGCACAAATGCCCAGTTTTAAGTTCAAATAAAAACATTTGTGACAGTGATGCTCAAAATAGAAGTAGTGAAGAGAAGAAGGCCAACCTTCCTCTTTGGTTCCTTCTTCAACATCCAGTACTTCTGCTCCTGGAATATAATCTTTGGCATCCAGTTCACCATATTCATGAATCCTAGCTTCCACGGAGGCCTCAGTAGGCTTGCCCTGCAAGTTAATAAAACACATGCTAAGCAGCCTGCTATGTTATTGCCCACAAATCTATGAAATAAACTGGGGGAGAAGAAGATTCAGGAGAAAAGAAATTATGCCTGAGAAGATGCTGAATTACTAAAAATTTGAACCAATTCTAGGAAGACAATCAAGCTTCTGTAACACTATCTTACCAATGAGTTTGATAAATCTGAACTAAGGAAATGTTGAAATAAGAATGCATCACACAAAAATGCAGCAAGGAAAGAACACAGGCCTGATTCCAGCTCATTCTGAAGAGGCTTTGAGAGAAGTTTTTGAGCAATCATTTCTCAGCACAAGTCTACATTGATGCTGAACACAACACACATAAGAACACTCACCCTGAATTTCTTCTGCAGCATCTCTGGATTCAGGGAACGGAAAAGGTGTATCAGAGTTCTTGCAGACATCATCACATCTACCCAGAAATAAAGAGAATCAAGAGTAAGTCTAGAAAAGCAGAACTCTGAGCAAACTGCTCATGCCTGTTCTGAAGTCCAGCTCTTCCATATGGTCTAATCTTTTCCAGCAAGCAGTTTCCCTTCAGTCTTCTCTATTGGGTCTCCTGGTTTAAACTACACCTGACTGTTCTGTCTCCTATCTATATACTCTGAAAATAGAGAAAATCAGACATCCTGAAAATGATACCTCCCAGCCCACAGAAAAACAATTGAGACATCACTATTATGAAAGGCTTAGCAATGGAGGACCTTATTATACAGGAGAAAAAATTATGAATTCTACTCATGTAAATACACTTACTTTTATTTTTATGAGTCTTGTACTGAACAAGGTCGTGGAGCAGATCTTCAGTCATGGCTAATGGACATCTCGCAGTGATTTCTTTTATTGCATTGATCCTAAAAAGTTGGAAGAGTTATATTCTTAACGATGCAGTTGGAAGTAACTCCCACTGGCCCAATAATAGACTTAATTATTTGGCAGTTGAAGAACCCTGTAAAGCACTTACACAACATTTAGTGTAAGAACATCACAAGGAGCTGTGTACAAAGGTTCTTCCAAAATTCCATCTTTGGCCTATACTCTACTCTCCAGCTATTATGTTGCCTGACCCTAGACACCAGAATTCTGCAAGTGAAGTCTGGGTCCAGGCAGACAGGAGAAGCAGTCAAACAATCCCCAGGCCAAGGAAAAAAAGTCAAGAAACAGTTCTGAAGTCAACTGTGAGCAGGCTAAGAACAGTATAACAAGCCTATGTGCTCACAAAAGTTCCATTTTAAACCATCTTCATGCCCTAAATACCTCTTGACCAGTCAAAGTACGTAACACTTTCACTAAGAGCAACATTTAATCCATAGTATCAAAATTTAATTCACAAAGTTAAGAGTCCTAAGCTATGCTGCTAGCCACTCACTGAGTATATACAAATAGATTGAATAGATCTGCCCAGGAAAGTGGTGGAGTCACCATTCCTGGAGATGCACAGAAACCCATCTTTCCATGGAATTTAAAACAGTGCCAAGAAAAATAAGGAAAGTTTCTCCTAAGATACCATCCTAACTTTTTTGTTCAAGCAGACTCTTGAAGGCATGATATCAATGACAGGAATAATTTTTAGGTGGCTTCAGAAAGAAAAGTTTTTCCACAAAGAGTTTTCACAGTTCTTGTAAGATTTTGTACCTACCCTACAGTCATGACCTCCCCAGAATTCTTGTCAGTGACAAAGTTATTGGCAATGGTCATTAACACTGACTGGATAATCTGCAAGTAAGGAAAAAGGTTAAATAAAACTTGATGCTATTCAATAAGTGTCAAAGTGAGTTAATATTAACAGACTGAGGCCTTTTCACAGAATTATGGAGCTCAGGACTTTTCACTACAGCCTGCAAATATTTTCTGGACAAGTTACCTCGCAGAAATCAAGACAGACATGGGTGGTTTTTATTCCCTTTATACAAAATAATCCCTTGTAACTTGCAGAAGTGTCTAAAGTTACTATAAGCTTGTAAAAACAAAGGGTCTGACCAGATTCCCTTTTCTACCGCCATCCCATAATTCCACTTAATTTTGAATATCATAGAAGGCAGGTGAAGTACTGACCTCAGGTGGTACTAGCTGATGTGAAGCTTGGGCAGCAAACAGAAGAATCTTTGTCACTTCTGGGAGAAAAGGGGGAAGAAGACACCAACATAAATTGCTGCAGCTTAGTTTGACCAATAAATGCATCCACCAAAATAGCTAACCCAACAAGCTGCTCAAAGTCTCAAAGCCACTTCAGTCTGCAGTTATTTGGGACAAACATCATTTCTCTCCCACCAGGGATTAGGAACTCCTCTGCTCTCCACCCCAGCAGCAGTGCAATCCCTCCTTTAACAGCCAGGAGAGAAAAAGAAATGCTCTAGAATTCGAGTGTAACACCAGTAAAACAAAGCAGCAAAAGGCAATCATGCTTTGCAGGGAAGTAGGAACTCAGCAGATTCGTTTTATACTATTGCTGGAGTTCCTCAAGTACTCAGGTAAGGAGCATTGAGTGCACACAGCTTCTGTAGAAGTCCAAAGCCCTTCACACTTCTGGTAATCAAGGCCTTTTATTTCCTTCACCCACACCCTCTGGACTATTACTTCCTTCTAAGCTACTGCCACCTAAGAACTAACTGTGCATGTGACATGATGGGACAGCAGTGTTTTCTGCTGGTAGCCACTGACCTCTCTGATGGGGCTGCAGGAATCTCTGAATGAAGGGGTAGAAATTAAAAAGAAAAAGCTGCAAGAAAGAAGTTGTAACAGATTAACAACTTGAGATCAGCTTCATAGACTGATATGACACAGAACAATCAAGAATTCTATACAGTTTGCTCTCCAAATGCCTTGGATTTTATTACATGACATTCTCCCCTTGAGTTGGACATATATAGAGCTGAGGAAGTGATTTTTACAAAGGAAAAATAAGGCTCAACCCCAAGCTCTGTGAAACACAGTGTGGTTCTTGTTAAAACTGCACAAAATTTCAATTAGGGCACTCTGCAGCAAAACCCTACAGCATGACACTTTCCCCTCTGCCTCAGGGACACAATTCTCTCTCCCAAACAGAAACTCTCCAGCAGTTTTGAGCACACTTCAGCTGTATCTTAGAGAGTGCCAGTTGTGGGCAATTACCCGGCTCCTTTGAATAGTCTTCCTCCTTTGAAAAGCCTCCCAGGAGCACACAAGTATTGGAAATTATTAGAGACAGCTCAGCTATTCTCCAGGCCAACAGGTTTCTCTAGCAGAGATCATTTAGTACCACAAAAGTCTACACCACTGTACCATGCCATGAGACCCACTGACAACTACCTGAGTAGACATCTGCACTTCTCAACATGCCAAATTGAACCTTGTTTTCCAGAGGCACAAGGCCAGGGCATGCCAGCACCCAAACCAGGCTGGCTACCATCAGATCATTATAAAGTTACCAGAGCATGTACCTCGTGTATTCCAACTAGCCTAGATATCAAGTCCATGAGCATCATCTTCACTTCAAATCGTTCCTTACAGTTCTCCAGCTGCTTCAGCAGTTTCTCTGCAAAGTCTGGAAGAAGTAGCAAGAAATGGATGGCTTACTTAAACAGCACAATACAGAACTCTGTTGGGATAAAGGTTAAAAAGGCAGTTTGGTTGGTTTTTTTTAAGCCCCAGTGCCCTTAGCACAGAAGAAATTCGAGGAGGTCAGAGCACTTCTCCCAGTAGCTTGCATTTATGCCTACTGGAAGGTCTGAAGTTGTCCACAGGTCCAGAGAGGAACATTAGAACAAGTTCCACTACATAACAAACTCAGTATTTAAAGCTAGATTTGTTATAGATATATTTCGGGTTCATCTGAAAAGCAATCTGTGGAGGTTCACTAGATCAGACTAAGATTAAGTGATACTGGAGAAACATGCAAATAATAATAGAAGTACATTTTTTAAGTGGGTAAGCCAAAGAAGCTATCATAAACTACTCCTTATTCACACGAGTTACGGCCTTCACGGATAAAAGAAAGGTAGACAGCCACATCCTGATTTGCAGCAACATCAAGTAGATGATTTAACATTGCTTCTTCCTTGTCTGAACCTGTTCTGCTACAGCAAGCACAACAGGATTGATACCACTCTTCTGCAGTGCTCTGAAATTGTAAGATAAAGCACACTGCAAGTATCACATGGCCCATTTCTATTTACTTGTCACTGCCTTTCTCCTTGCAGAGTTGTGTCCAAGCTTCAGTGTCTGGGATAACACAGAACTTGAAAAAAAAACCAGACAAAATAGCGCATGCTTACCTTGGGGATCATGAATCAAGTGAATAGCAGAGAAGTTAAACACTTCTGGCCTGCTCTTCTTCTTCTGTTTCTGCACGGCAAAGAGAGAGACATTGGAAGTGCTTCAGTTCCAGGCTGCTGTTAAAAGCTTCTATTTATCATTCTTCTCTTCAAAGAGTTGCTTTAACAAGTAAACTATCACTCTTTTCAACTGCACAGGGTTTCCTGCCACCTCACAGGAGCTGCATTAAAAAAGTTACTTATTGAGACACCACACATTTAGAAGTAGGGGACCACACAACAGGTACCCAGAGCAGAACTCATCCACAACTTAGGCTCTAAAACTGTTTGAAATAAAACGTCCTTCCAAACAAACACGGCACACGCCTGGGCAACGGGTGCTGGAACAGTTGAGGACGTTGACCTAGAGGAGGTGACAAAAGGTAGCCAAGTCACCAGGGGTAACAAGCTTTCTGTATGTGAAGGATCAAGCTCCAGGTCAGATGTCCCTCACCTTGAGAACCTTCATGGCTTTCTCCAGTTTCTTCTTGCGCTTGGTGTTCTTCTTATTAGTTGCATATCGCATCATCAGATCTCTGGCTGTAGGAGCATCATCCTGCAGAAGGCAATGGAAAACAAGGCTCAGGTGACACCAGGCTTCACATGGGAATCAGAGAAACTCAAAGTATCAGGATCCTGTCCTGCATTGGAAAACTCTCCCTCTTGCTAAATATCATATAGCTACAGTAGCATTTATAATCCTGATGCCACAAAACTCACCACATACCTACATGCAAGGGAGACCAGAGACTTGATCATCAATACAATAGTTTATACATCTGGTCAGAGCACTGTTCACTCATTGTTCACGTCATTGTTGAACACAATGTTCACTCACTGCTCACAGGATATCACTAATGATATCCTATATTGGCAGGTTCAGACTGATGGGAATCAGAGAAACTCAAAGTATCAGGATGCTGTCCTGCATTGGAAAACTCTCCCTCTTGCAGACTGAGTTAGGTTATCAGCCTTCTCAAGATAACTGGATTATGTTAATTTGGACACAAACAGGAAGTGGAGCACAAAAGGGAAAACAAAGCAGACAGCTAGAAACTTAAACAATCACCCACTACAGTGAAAAGCCTCTTCCCACAACTCTGTATTGCACATCTAGCAAATCATCACCTGTGAACTAGACTGACCCGCCCCTGTTTAGGTCTTCAAAGCTTCTATCACAACAATAGGAAAGCAACTATAAGCTTTAGACACAGACAGCAAAGGCATCCTGTAGGAAACAAGATTAAAAAATAAGTAACAGACTGGTGGAGCTAGGGTCACTAGGAGGGCAGACCTACCAGCTTGAAGAAAAAGAGAAGGGAAGAATCAATTCACAACACCCACCTCAGATTCTGAGTCACTATCTTGTTTTTCATCTTCATCTCTCCCAAGAAAGAACTTCAAACTAGCAACTAACACCTGAAAAGCAAAGTTAAGGTAATCTAGGACAAACTGACAAGAGGACTTGCAACACACATACATCCACATCTTAGTTTACCCAGTTTTTTTACAGGCATGAGTATTAACAGAAAATCAGACTGAAATCTGCAGGCGTTTTACAGACACTCAGTCCATTTTTGCTTCCCAGCCTCAACAGTCAGAGCCACACAGAGTCAATAAGCAGCTGAGCTTCCACAATGCCTGGAACAAGTTTACAGATGCAGATTATCTTCCTACCGTTCCGCAAAGCCATTTCAATCTAAGTGCTCCACATGAACCTTATCAGGAACTCCTGCACAGCTGATACCTGAGACAGTGCTCAAAAGCCCAAACATTTATTAGGTTATAAGAGTTGCTCACATTTTTTCTTTGTCTTGACTAGTTAATGTTTATTGAATGGAACAGCTTTCGGACCTTCAGAGCTGAAAAACTTGCCTCAAATTATAAAAGCTTAGAAAACCCACAGCAAAGCAGAACTGACACGGATGACAAAAGACCTTATATGTACCCAAGCCCCCAGGCAGGACAACAGCTCTCTTCACATGTAAGAAATGAAAGCCTTACAGTGCTCGTTACAAAGAAGCAATATTCTGGCAGCCTCTGCTGAGCAGAAGTGGCAAGTACACACACCCTTCCCACACCAGCCTGCTTCCAATTCTGCTGCTCTGCACAGGTGCCAAATGTCACCTCCCCCCACAACATGAGCACCATTTTGGAAAGAAAACAAGACTAACACAAATCACCAGTGAAGCTTGCTAGCAATTACAGTACCAAAATAAAAAGCTGCATCCACAGGAAAAATATAGCTCAGGTAACATGAGGCGATTTCTGTTCTCACCTTCGTCACTTTGGAAAAACAGGCAGTTGTGATAACATTGACTGTCTTGGCATCATTCCTGGAAAACAGTACAACATTACCTTGCAAGTTTAGCCATTTCAAGTAATGCTCAGAAAATAAAGCCTCACAAAGTGTGACTGCTAGTAATTAGGAAGCCTCATTAAAATTAAGTCTCTCAAAGCAGATGTGCAGAGAAATGAAGCTTCTATAATTTTCTTTTCTTCCAACATCACAGTAGCTTCATCTAAATAAGCAAATACACTCTTGCTCCACCTAGTTCATGCTGTGACTGAAGGGGCAGAAAGAACAACCTCCAGTAAGATAACTGAAGACAGATTACCACTTTTTCCACCGATAAAAGATAAACTCCCACCAGGTGAAAAAGGTCAGTGTAGAATTCTAACTTTCATTAGAAAATCAACTGGATAGTTGAAATAAAGTATGCTTTAAAAATCAAAATTAGTAATAAAGCTACAGGAAAAAATCTGGTTTCATACCAAGTTTCTCTTACTTAAAAACCAACTCCATAGGACTGAAGAGGTCTTTACCTACAACACTTTTTTCAGCAGCCCCTATGTTCTCTGCCTTCTATTGATCTATTCTGCTCCCCAGAACTGCCACTTGTTGCATTTTAATCTCTATACAGTTTCATTTCTGTGCAAGAACCAAGAGCAGCACAAGAGTTACAAAGTGAAGGGCTTGTAAATCTTAAGATGTTTTTAGAGTCAAGGAGCAAGCAGGAGGCTTTTACTCCTTTCAATACTTACCTTTAGGCAACTATTTCTCAGGCTATCGCTAAAAACAGGAACCATATTACAGCTTCATTAAAACAGCCCGGAAGTCAAAGCACCTACTAGGTCAGTCTTCCAGAATGAATTTAAGTCTTAAGAAAAAAAGAAAAAACCAAAAAGCTACGCGGAAATTCCTCCTCCCACTGTACAAGACAGGCTGTGTGCCAACATTAGCAGGTTTTAAGTGCAAAAGCTCAAAAAAGCAAGCTGCACACAGCTTTGGATTCAAATGCAACACCGTTTCCATACTGTTTTCAACTAACATATCAACAACTCAACCTCAACAACTCTGGGACAATGCACAACAGTGTTCCTTCCCAGCTAAATTGCATCCCACGAAACACAGCTCAACTGGAACACAAAAAAGGAGGCCCAGGCCTTCAGTCTGACATGATGCACTATGTGCCACTCATGATGTCAGGAGAGCTGCCCCACAACAAAAGTGGAACCAGTCAGACCTACCAAATATTCCTCGTGTAAAGCTCAATCATCACATCCAGAGATATCTTGGCAGCAGTAGGGTTGCTGTCTCTCAGCATAGTATACATGAAGTTCTGCAGCATCTGAGGAAGGAGCATAGGCACAGTTATTCTGGGTCTTTCAGCACATCAAGACGTTAGGTGGCAGAATATCCAAGGGCTGAAATACTTACTGTGTTCACTTTGTTGTTTTTGTGCTTGGCATTGACATTCTTGATGTCTGACACGATGTGAGTGTACAAAGTCTGAAAATGGAGAGATGGCAGGGAGGAACCCCTGGAAGCCATGCAGAGAACAAGGCAGCTACATCACTACTCCCACACACAGCCTCCAAGTACTAAGATGAGGGACCAAACCACTCACAGCTAATATCAATTTGCCTTTAAATTACAGCTGGAAAAACAGCATTAAGTTATCCTGGGAAGTCTCACCTACTCTTCATTTCTGTATTTGGCAAAAGTGCTCAATTTCCAGCACCAACAGCAAGGCAGGAAAATGAAATACAGCTTTAGCAATCCCAGCCTGTACCATAGGCCAGGCTCATAACCGTGGTGACAGAAAGCACTTGATCTTCACTTTCATGGTAGATAACCTGAAATATGGCTTGACCCAACAGCTCGTTTATTTTGAGCCTTCCTACTGTTACCATGGAGAACAGCTGCCTGCGAGTGCTGCAGTTCTTCTGGCAAGGCAGCCAGCACCTGCTGGAAAACAGGAATGGTTTTGGGAAGCAGGGCTCACCTTCCGTAGCAGTTTATCGTGGCAGCGCAGCAGCTGGAAGAAGAGCTCCAGCAAACTCGTGGGAGAGATGAGATTCTTGTTCCTTAACAAGATCAAAGCCTTACAGAAGGTCTGCGAGAGAGAAACGGGGAATCAGAACCAGCATTGCACAAACCCGACCTTCCACCTCGATGAGGAGGCAGCCCCGAGGCTGCACCCCGCAGGCCTCACCATGCGCAGCTCCGCGTCCAGCACCGTGTGGTGGTAGGAGAGCAGGTCCTTCAGCTGCTGCGGAAAGCTGGCCATGTGCTCGGGGTAGCAGTGGGCAACCTGGGCACAGACAGACCCCGCTGAAACCTCCGGCGAAACCCTCGGGTCACCCTCCCGACCCCGGGAAAGCCGCTCAGATCTGCCTGCGGGCAGCCCAGCCTCACCTGCGCCAGGAACATCACCAGCTCCGCCAGCTCCTTACTGGGCTTGTCGGGCTGGAAGGTGAAGATCTCCACGTGGGACTGGTAGTGCTGGTGCTGCTGGAGGAACTGGGCAGGGCCCGGGCGGGCGGCGCTGAGCGGGGCCCTCGCGCGGCCCCCCCGGCCCCGCCGCACC